GTTAGGATTGTTTGGAATACTCCCTTGTTGACTCGTTGAGGTCGGGAAAGAGAGTGAGCAGACCACGGGAAGATGAGGCCATGTTCTGGGTAGCTGAACGGGAAGAAGAGGCCATGTTTTTTGGGTTGCTGAGTGTTTCCGAGAAGGGTTGGATACAGAGTATTTACAGATTGTTTCAGAATAACAAGTTCAGAGGTTTCAGTCTGGTTTGGTTTCCTCCGCCTCCGCATTGGTTTATATTGACACTGACGACGCGGCCGACACGCCGCTCCGTCGCTCACGTGCCTCGCCGCGTCCCCGGCTCACCTTTTGATGGCTCGACGCTTTCTGTCGGGCACGACTTTTGATGAAGTGGGCGCGCCTTTTGAGGGCGCAACTTTTGATGGCACGCCTTTTTATGGATTGGACACGCATTTTGATGCACGTCTTTTTATGGATTGGGCACCCCTTTTGATGGCACGCCTTTTGAAAGATTGGGCACACCTTTTGAGGGTGCGACTTTTTAGGGGTCCGACAAGACTCTGTAAACTCAAAAAATTTAAATAAGAAAACCAAACAACCAAAAAAGTTTTAGGCTAAAATAGTCCAAAAAAAAACCAAAAAATCAACTAAAAAAATCATTGTCAAACGACCCCTAAAAACTATCCCCAAAATTTCTTACATTTGTTTGCAAATTACTATCCGTGCTTTCTGTTTTAATTAGGGATGATAAATGAATTAAATAATTTAAATTTGATGTTTAACTTATTAAAAGTTCATTCAAATTTAATTTAATTCAAATTTAAAAAGTTAATTGTTCAACTCGTTTATTACCTGTATTATTTAGTCTCATACTATTAAGCAAGTAACAAAACAATATTATATTTCGAAAAAATAGGATAATTACTTCTTTCCCACATCTTTGAATCTGGTAAAGAATTTTGATGCTGATCCCCCAACCCAATGTTTAAGCCTCCATGAATTAAACTGTCTTCTACAACGGTCCGACATGACCCCATAAACTGTCTTCTGCATCGGTCTGACACCGCCATCCAGTGTCCTCTACACCGTTATGACACCACCATCCAGTGTCTTCACCAATGGTCTAACACGACCATACAGTGTCACCTATCCTCTTTTATTTTTTATGTATTGTCTTGTTTTGTAACTCTCTCCAAACTCAAGTTGGTTAGTTCCTATCCCCCCTTGAGTTTGCGGGGGGCTGTTAAAACCTATCACCTACTTCACCCACTTAAACCTACTCTACTAAACCTAACCCACTACACCACTACCACCTCACCTACTCCACTAAACCTAACCCACTACACCACTACCACCTCCACTTCACCTACTCCTTACCTACTACACACTCACCCTCTTCTATATATAGGAATCATGAATCATGAATCATTGTAATAAATATATCAATATCTATCAATCAATAATATACATCAATTTTTACAACATCTAAAGGGGTTCTAAAAATTTGAGGGTCCATTTGTATAGTTATGGATTTCAATTCAAGGGATTTGAGGCTAAATGGATAGAAAAATAATGGAAAAAGACAAGTTGAGATAGAAGATATATACATTTTAGTAGGATCCTTACAATTAGAAAGAGAATCCTTAGCATGATTTACAATTATTTCAAAACCATCATGATAAAGTTATTTAGCTCTATCTAGAAATTCATACACAAACTATCATATCTAAATTTGAGTTATTGTTTTGAACGATTAAGGTCAAATACCATGATTTGAAATCCAAATGTATAAAAACGGACCCTAAAAGTAAGTCTTAGTTAACTTTAAACTACCAATTCCAATCTTTAAAAACAGTTAACAGAACCTTTTAGCAGCTTTTAGTGTGGTGACTGTTTAGATCAAACAGTTACATTCTCCCGTTTCTTAGTAAGGAAAACGTAGGAACATTATATCCATTGGGTGATTGGTGTTTAAACATATCTAATTGGCACCAACTGCAGCCATAAATAAATCCTGTTCTCATGGCCTACACTAAAAATAAGACAAAAAATTACCAGAAGTGTATGTTGAGCGAAATGATTCTATGGAATCAGAAGGAACAGAATAAACAGAACAATAGTTGTTGTCAGCTTTCTGTAACAGCTTCTTGAATCGCTTAACCTGAAAGAAAAGAAAGAATTGGTGATTTCTTGCAACTTTAACCAAAGGATGAGTACAAAAAGAGTTATGTTGAGACCTATCTCAAAGTAATACCATTCCTCCTCTCATTCACATTTCTTTTTGTTGGCAAAAAACCATATTTCTAAGTAGCAGCACCACACTGGGTGCCCAGTAACTCTTTTAGGAGGTCACATGCACAAAAATATGACACAATAATTGATCTAGAGATCAGTGCCAATAAACTACTATGAAGCAATAAAAATCAAATTTAAGTTGAGTTAGAAATAACTTTTCATATTTAAATTACCCCCTCCGCATCTCTAACCTTAACAACAGTGACACAGCCAGATATTTTTTCAACTGGGAAATTATGGAAGTAATATCAGCTTTTAATTATACATAATTAACAACAGAATACTTTCTTGTTATATACTTGTTAGACTTATTTATTTTGATGATTTATTTAATTATGTTTTAATTTATTTGGAAGAGAAAAATAGAATTAAAATTTATTTTGATGATTTATTTGAAAGCGAAAAATATAATCAACATTTATTTTGATGATTTTATGTTTTAATAAAATCAAAATTTATTTTGTCCCATTATTTCTCACTTAAACCTTTATCTTAAATGTTATTAGAATGTATTTAATATTTGATTAAATCAAGAGTTCAAACAGCCCAAAAACAGAGGTGCAAACAGCCCAACACAGCAGCAGTTCAAAAGGTTCAAGTGGAAGATATTCAAATTTGTAATAATGGAGTGGAAGATATTCAAATTAATAATGATGGAGTACAACAGCTATAAACGGCTATAATTTTCATTATATATACCAAAACATCTAATGTAAACAAGTTACAAAAACCTGAAAATATTCTTTGCTCTATAATCACTCACATCTATTCTCAGAAATTATACACTGAGCCTTATAACTTTAAGCCCATCTTTCCTGTGTGAGGTTTACAGAAAAACCAGAGCTTCATTTTTATATCTATCTTTGAGAGAGAATTCTTGTAACTTTCTGTGAAAGGAAAAACACATTCTTTTCAACCTTGTAAGAGTGTAGTACACTCAGTGTTCTTGACCTAGAAAGTCAGTGTAAAATCTGTGAAGTATTGCTCCATCTATGAAAAGGTTGCTAGCAACCTGTAAAGCTAGAGTATAATGGAAAATCTCAAGTGAAGCTTGAAGAGTGGACGTAGGCCGAGTTGAAACCGAACCACTATAAATTTATTTGCCTCTCTCTCCCTTATCTCTTTATTTTATTTTAAATTGCCATAGCTATATTTCAAATTTTATTGTGCTAAAATCATTAACTAACATAGTTGTTAAGACACTTGTTTTAATTATTTTTATTTCATTAATTATATTTATCTATTGTGTTAGTCATAATTTTTATTAGGGTATTATTAATTTTAATTATAAAAACCTAATGCACCCCCTCTTTGGTTGTCTTTTGGGTAACAATTGGTATCAGAGCCTAGGCTCTTGTTTTAGATTTAACCATCTAGGAGTTTCGATCCATGGCAACCTTAGCTGAAGGACAAGTCACAAATAGGCTACCATTGTTTGACGGAAACAACTATAGTCATTGGAAGGATAAGATAACCCCATACCTACAAGCCACTGATTATGCCATGTGGATTACTGTCACCAAATGTCCAAAAATTCCTACCAAATTAGTAGACAATATTAGATGAATGTGATGAGAGAGATCATAAATTATTGCAAGCCAATGTGAAAGCCAAACTCATCCTTATTTGTGGATTAAACTCTAAGGAGTATAATAGAATTTTAAGTTGTGATTCGGCAAAAGAAATTTTGGACAAACTTGAGGTAACGTATGAAGGTACAAACCAAGAGAAGGAATCTCATATTGATATGCTTGTTCATAGTTATGAATTGTTTAAAATGAACTCTGATGAATCTATTCCAAGTATGCTTACTAGATTTGCTAAAATTATAAACTCTTTGAAATCTCTTAGCAAAACTTATACTAACAGTGAGTTGGTAAGAAAAATTCTTAGGTGTTTACCAAAGAATTGGAAAGCAAAGATCACAGCCATTATAAAAGCCAAAAATCTCTCTACACTTAGATTGAATGAGCTTATGAGTTTCCTTATAACTCATGAGATCACCACGAAAGGACATGAGAATGTTGAAAACAAAAAGAAAAGTGGAATTGCATTCAAAGCCTCATCAAATGAAGAAGAACATGAAAACTCCAATGAGGATGAAAGCTATGCCATGTTTAGTAGAAATCTCAAAAAGCACTTCAAGAAAAATAATTATGGAGGAAGAAGACCTTTCAAGAAAGAGTACAACAAAGATAACAAGAAAGAACCTATAATTTGCTATGAGTGCAAAAATCCTGAACATATGAAGATGGATTGTCCAAAATTGAAGAATCATGGAAAAGACTACAAAAGAAACAAAAAGGCCATGGTAGCAGCTTGGGGAGAAAGTGAAGAAAAAAGCTCAAGTGATGAAATTGAAAATGAAGTAGCCAACTTATGTCTCATGGCTCTTAAAGATGAAGACTCTACTCAAGATAAGGTAACTACTCTTTATGAAGAACTTAAAAGTTCATTCCATGAACCACAAGATGAATTTAGAAAAGTTTGTGCCAAAAATAATGTGTTGAAGAAATCTGTTGCATCTTTATCTATTAATGTAGAAGAATTAAAGAAAGAAAAAATTGTTTCGAAAAATGATTTTGACACCGTCTCTAATGAGAAAACTGCTTTACAAAACAATGTTGAAGATTTAACAAAAACACTTGAAAATTTTGTAAAAGGTAGAGATAATCTTAACATGCTTCTTGGAAATCAAAGATGTGTTTTCGATAAGGCGGGCATTAGATATGACCCTATTAAAAAACAAAAGAATCACAATATAATTTTTGAAAAGGCACCTCTCATGACTCACCCTTATATTACTTGTCATTATTGTAGAAAGAAAGATCATTATATATCTTCTTGTCCATTCAAAAATAATATAAACAAGGGAATTAAAAAGATTTGGATTGTTAAGTGATCTAACAAAACTAACCAAGAAGGACCCAAGAAACTATGGGTACCAAAAACCAGCACTTGATTGTCATCTTGTAGGTTTGTTTTGAGTCCAAAACTAAAGAAGAGAAGTGGTACCTTGATAGTGGATGTTCCAGACACATGACCGGAGATAAATCATTCCTTATTAAACTATCATCGAAAGATGGAAGATTTGTTACTTTTGGAGACAATAAGGAAAAATCATCGGTATTGGTAGCATCAGTATTTCTCCTAACCCTTCTATTGAAAATGTTTTACTTGTTAATGGACTTAAGCGTAACCTACTTAGTATTAGTCAATTATGTGATAAAGGTAAACGAGTTATTTTTGATAAATCAGATTGCACAATTGAAAGCACAAATGATCATAAAGCTTTATTCGTTAGTAATCGCCATGATAATGTTTATATTTTCATCTTAATGATCTATATGCTAGTAATGTTAAATGTTTATATGTTAATAATGAAAATAGTTGGTTATGGCATAGAAGACTTGGTCATGCTCATATGGATTTAATTGCTAAACTTTTGAGAAAGGATATGGTCATTGGACTTCCAAAAATTAAATTTGAAAAAGATCATCTTTGTAATGCTTGTCAACAAGGAAAACAAACCAAAACAACATTTAAATCAAATCTCATATTTCCACAACTAGACCTGTACAACTATTACATATGGATTTATTTGGTCCTTCAAGGACATCTAATCTAGGTGGTAAACGTTATTGTCTTGTTATTGTTGATGATTATTCAAAATTTACATGGGTTACATTTTTAGCACACAAAGATGAAACCTTTTCTTCTTTCACAAAACTCTATCGTAGAATTCAAAATAAAAAAGGCTTTCTTATTACTAATATTCAAACTGACCATGGTAGAGAACCTGAAAATGAGAAATTTGAATTGTTTTGTGATGAGCATGGTATTGGATATAATTTTTCAGCACCTAGAACCTCTCAACAAAATGGTGTAGTAGAAAGGAAGAATAGAACTTTGAAGAGATGAGCAGAACAATGTTTTGCGAAAATAATCTTCCTAAATATTTTTGGGCCGAAGCCGTTCACACCGCATGCTATATTTTAAATCGTGCATTAATTAGACCTATTCTCAAAAAGACTCCTTATGAACTTTGGCATGATAGAAAGCCCAACATTAGTCACTTGCATGTTTTTTGTTGTAAATGTTTTGTGCATAATAATGGTAAGGATAACTTAGCTAAATTTGATTCAAAATCTGATGAAGCAATTTTTTTTGGCTATTCTTTAACTAGCAAAACTTATCGTGTTTTTAATAAAAGAACTCTTGTTGTGGACAAATCTATACATGTGGCATTTGCTGAAACAAACATCTCTGCTCAAAAGCAAATTGTTAGTGATAATATAGATTTGGAACCAAATGTGAAAAATTCAAGTATCTACAAAGAAGAGAACCAACCACGTAGGTTGAACAAAGAAATTGAATAACCTATTCTCCCACCTCAAGAAGAAGGAGGAAACAATGATGATTTGCCAAGAGAATGGAAGTTTGTTCATAATCACCCTAAGGATTTAATCCTAGGTGACCCTACAAAAGGTATTGAAACTCACTCTTCACTTAGAAACATTTGTAGTAACTTGGCTTTTCTCTCACAGATCGAACCTAAAAACTTTCAATAAGCCGAATTCGATGAATATTGGATGATAACTATGCATGAAGAGCTTAACCAATTTGAGAGAAATAAAATGTGGGAATTTGCGCCAAAACCAAAAGATCATACCATTATCGGTACCAAATGGATCTTTCGAAACAAGCTTGATAAATCCGGCACAATTATAAGAAGCAAGGCTAGACCAGTTGCACAAGGGTACAATCAAGAAGAAGATATTGATTTCGATGAAACATTTGCTCCGGTTGCTAGATTAGAAGCGATTCGCATGTTACTTGCATTTGCATGTTTTAGAGATTTCAAAC